CAAATTGGTATTTTCCCTTCAAAAAAAAAAGTGATTAAAACAAAGTCACATTAAAATAAGTTATGTACAAAAACATCATACGCCTGCGACATGTTCATAAAAATTCCCATGATCGTCCAGCATCTGTCATTTTAATTTTTTCAGCGTACATCTTTGTCTTATCTGTTCTTTCAGAGGTTAACTCATTTCCCGTTTGCCCCGAGAACACTCGCCCAACCCTCGCGGGCAGCGGCGCTTGCGGCTGCAGCGTTTACCCCGAGATGACTCGCGGATTACAGCCCTAACCTCACCCCCAAAGTCTGCCACGAAACAGCTCGCTTTTGTTATTATTTTTGCATCGCTCTAGTATATCGATAGTCTTTGGAATCGAACGACATCATTCCATTTCTAGTGTTCTGTTTTTAATAGTAGTACTACTATTTACAAAATATAGTAATTCTCGATCGCCGAAAATGTTCAATCCTACAAAACATACATTCCTACGTGTGATGCTAAATTAACACTGGCAGCGAGCTGCCCTTTTTTCTTTCTAAACGGGAAATGGGTTAAACTTTGGAACACCAAGGAAGCGATTTAGTGTATATTTCTAGATTCTTCTAAAAATCTGAAAACCGTATTAAACATGTTTTTGTTCACATTTCTTTGTCATTTTTTGGTTTCACAGAACTTAATTTTTCACATTTACAGATTTACCTTAAAAACAAAATTATATGGTGATGCATTAAGTAAATTATTAATTCTCAGAATAGAAAAATAAAACACAACACTTGCCATCTGGTTAACCATCTGTTCCCACACCTTTAGAGGCTACCATTCCCTCCCGCTCCTGACCCTGACACCGCGTGCAGCGCATCCTTCGAGAAGGCATTTGATGATGAAAAGAGATCAACCGTGCAATATCTGCCATAAACAAAGCAAATACATCACGGACAACCTCCTTTCGAACATCTCAGACCAGCTTCTGCGACCCGGCGGCTCCTCCGGCTGCGGGGCGTCCTTCTGCAAAGGAAATCGAAGGTGAAGGTGTAACGTGGAGAACAGATGCCATTGAAGACATCGCGCTCCCTCTGGGCCTGCCTGGGACGCACCTGGGTGGTGCGGGGGACAGTGGTACTCCCTGAGCTTACCGGCACGGTTCAGGAGCCCTCCGATGGGGTTCGCTTCTGAAAGAGAACTGTACCTCTCATGTTTCCTCAGGCCTAAAACGAAGACATCAGGGAACAACTGGTCTTTACACAGGTGACTCAAAATCAGAGTCCCTTCCAGGAGGTCCTCTGGGCTGGAGAGGTTTTCTGAGGGTCCATGGGTCGGGTGGCACATGTCCTACACAGAACACGCAGCCTGCTTTCTCTCTGCAGCTCAGAAATCCTGGGAGGTGCTCCCACAGTTGTGCCTCTCCTGCGGCTGGCACCCTGTCATCTGCAAGGGTGTTACTTAGTGAGACAGGTTAACTGTGGTGCCACGTCCTGGCCACGCTTTCTTGACAGACTGCGGATGGACATGATGTGAAGACAGCTGCTTCTCTCCAAAGGTGCTTTGGCCTCTGGGGAGATCTCTGAAGGGAGGACAGGCCCTAGAGGATGGGAAGAGCAGGAGCCAACCACGATGCGGCCACCTGTGTGGCCAGCGAGGCCCAAGTGCCACAAGAGGGGCCGCTATCAGCATCTCTTCCCGGAAGTTGGTGCTGGGCTTCGGTGATGGGACATGATACTCCAACAGGAGGGCACCCGGATTTTCCATCAGAACTAAAGCAAAGAAACACGGAGAGTCTCCTGTCTAGCGCTGAAGTGCAGCTCCAAGCGTAACCCCGCAGCCTCCTGTCCTGGCCGACGCAGCCCCAGGAACGCCTCCTGGGGAAGAGAGATGTCAAGGGTTGGTGGACATCCAGGAAACCGTGACTGCCACTTGCACACTCTGGACAACGACTCGTCACTTACCCCAGAGAGTGCTGATGTCACAAGAGTCTCAGCTCAAGAGACCTGCCCTCTAAGTCGGATTTGATGCTGAAAAGAGATTGGCCAAGAACGATCTGTCACAAACAAAATGAATTCACCTGGGAAAACCTCTCTTCCAGGAGCACAGAGCAGAACCACCCACGGGTGCCCGCGGCAGCTCCTCCAGGAGGACGGCCTCGGCATGGACTGAACGTGGAGGCTGAGACACGGATGGCGGCGTCTTTCATGAGGCACCTTCTGCACTCACAGTCATTCGCTGATCCCGATGTGGGGGCGAAACCAACGTCACTTCTGTGTTGATGGCATCGAGGAGCACATCCCTCTGAGGCAGGACGAACCTGGAAGACATCAGGCTGGGGAGGGTCAGTCCCACTGAAATGACCGCTCTGGGAAAACCTCCCTCCCAGACCCACGGCGACCACTGCCTCCCACCACAGCCGGTGTCCCCAAACAATTCTACTGTGGATGGTTGGGTGACAGTCCACCAGGCGAGGTGTCACAGTTAAAATGCACACCTGGCAAGCACCCAAATCCATCTCTGGAGGGATGCGGGGGACAGCTTTCACTGACTGCTTGGTTTGGGTTGTTGTTACAGGTACTGTTTAGCTGTATTATTGTTTTTGGCTGCTCTCATCTGAGCTCCTTTCAAGTGCTGGGGACATTCTTCACCAGGGAACCCAGAAACATGGTGCAGTGGGGAGCTGGCATGCGACCGAGGCCTCATCAACTGTACCTGCGTGGGACTGAGGATGGCCGGACACTGAGTGTCCCTGAACCCGCCAACACACAGTGGACAAGGGGTGAATCCTCCATATACATACCAAGAGAGGCAGTGACACCAAAACCCCTTACCCAAGGTTCCACCGGGGCCAGGGAGCTCTTCAAGGTGATATGCGATACCGAAAAAGAAGTGCACCATGTTTGTTTCGTCACATATCAAGCGAAAATAACATGGGCAACTTCTTTTCAGGTACCAGAGGTCGGCTCTGAAGGACATCGTCTGCCTCGGCTCACCTCCGGCAGTGTACCTGGGTGTGAAGAGACACGGAGGGTTAGGCGTGGCGGCAGGGCCAAAATGCCCACCGAACGTGTGCCCGAAAGTGATGGGTTACACGCTTACCCTTTCCAGCAGGGCCACACATCTGGGGAGCCCTTGCAGACCAGGCTGAGCCTAAGCCCAGGGGCATTGTGCGGGCGTCATTGTGGATAAAGCAAAGCAATCCCAGATCCCCTCTGCTTCGGGATCCCAGGAAGTCTTCTTGGGCAGAATTCAATAATCAAGGCTGACGGGCTCCGCAATGTTTAGTATCAACTCCACAAATTGCTCGTTGAGAGCGTCATTTTGGGGAAAAGGGGGCGGTCCCAGACCCTGAAATGAAGTCTCCTCCATGAGTCAGTGGTTCCAGTAAGGCTCCTTCTTGACAGGTGGGAAACCAAGGATATCGAATTAGGTGTAACAAGCCACCGACACAGGATCAGCTCACTGCGAACCCATTTGTGTGTCTTGCACGGTCCTGACTCCTGTGTCCCTCCTTAATGGTGCTCCTGGTTCCTTTGAGGCACAATTTGATTCTAAAACACCAGCAGTTCAGCATGACTTGTGACAAATCAGCAAACCCATCACAGAACGCCAAAGAACAGCAGGGACAAAGAAATGCTATCTTCCCTCAAGTCAGCACCACTTCCAGGAAGCCCTCCCAGGGAGAGAGGGACTCCATGTGAATGGGTCAGTGGACATGCTCTGGAGTCCACCATCCTTCAGGTCTCTGGGAGAGGGGCCCACGCCAACGGCCCTTCCCTGGACACAAAACACATTAATAATGCACGACTTGTCATTTATAGATTAGACTGCCAGGACAATACTTTTGAAGTACACACAAAGTAAGAACACCAGAAAAAGTCATTTTTTGCCAAGGACACCTTACATAGTACATCGAGGACAGCTCACAGGAGAGACACACATCACTGAAAAAAAAAAAAATGCAGGTTTTCCAATCACCACTGTGCTGTGGTGTCATCTGTTTATATTCCAAGTAACACAGAATGCAACTCAAACTGGCTTGAACAATAAAGTGCTTTACAGGCTTTATATAACTGATAGGCTAGCACAACTGAAAAGTGCAAAGACAGGGCAAGCTTCAAGCAGGGTTTGATCGGGGGTTCAAACAACGTCCGCTAGATCTGGGTCCTCTCCTGACTCCCCAGCATGGTACAGCCTCCCTCTCTGGGTCTGCACAGCTCCCTCGTGCAGGCGCCCAGGCTTGCTCCTCCCAATCTGCGGAAGCATCAGAGCTCACGCTATCAGGCCACGTGGCTGCGGGAACATAGAGGGAACTCTGACTGCGCTCGCCTAAGTGGAAGAAATACTTCCTTTCCCAGAAGCCTCAGCAAACGACTCCTTGGATTTCATTGGCTCAGGGGAGTTAGAGGCCCACCTTTGAACCAATCACAGCAGCAAGAGGGGGTGGGGATAAAGGGGTCACTCAACCTTGGGCTAGTGCGTGAATGCGTGCGTGCGCGAATGCGTGCGTGCGCATGCGCGCGTGTAGGGGCGGGGTTTTAAATCCAACCCAAGCCACACGGCGGGAAGAAGGGAGCGTTCATGAAAGAAATCGGGGGAAACTGAGGCAGAGAGAAAGGATTTAGCAAAAATCTTGACCGAAATCTACAAGTGCCAACGTGCCCTCCCTGAAATCGGCCCCCGAACTAAGAAGTCTTCAAGGCAGCATTGGATACTGAAAAAGAAGTGCACCGCGAATGTTTCGTCACAAATAAAGCGAAAAAGACACGGGCAACTTCTCACTAAGTACCGCACGTCAGAACCGCTGGGCGGCGCTGCTTCTCCGAGGCGGGCATCACTTCCGGCGGACTTCCTGAGAGCAAATGGGTCCTACCAGGGCTCGGGGCAACAAGCCTTCAAGCAATGGGGACCAGAGAAAGGTTTAATGTTTGTCAGAAACACAGAAGGTGGCTCATGGACAACGCCGCCTCGAATGAAACAGAATGGCCTTGGGCCCTGACTGTGTCACCTCTGCTGGCCTGCCTCAGCTCCGCGAAGTGTTCCCGTGGCAGAAAGGACAGTACAGGTTGATGAGTTATGAATGAATGATGAATGAAAGCCACGTTCCCAGTGGCCCATGCGGACGACTGACCCAGTGGCTCCACATCTTCACCCATCCCCACACCCACACCCTCACCATGACCTCCTCACAGATGGAGTATCCATCCCACCCCTTGGCCTTGGCCATGTGATTTTTCTTTGGCCAAAGGTAAGTGGGCAGAAATGTGCCAGTTCTAAGTTTCACTCTTAAGTACCCCTGGGTTTCCACTTACTTTCTTGTGCCTCTGCCATCGCCATGAGAACAATGTGCCAGCCAGCCAGCCCAAGAGGAGGGTGACAGGTTGAGTCCTACCTTCACCCCCCAAAGTAGGCTTCATCCCCAGAAGTCGTCCTGGGTATAGAAGGGCTATCTGAGATCAGCGGACCAGCAGACACACACACTAAACAGAACACGTGCTCTCAGGAGGAACATACCTTCACTGACAATGGCTCCAACGTCCCTTCTCTAAAGTTGGTGTCACATCCGGAATACGTCTCAGGCAGGATCTGACACTGAAAAGCATCCAATCTATTTGAGTCTTTAATTCATAAGTCAAGCAAAGCTGGACAATAGACACAGAGATGACGACAAAGCCTCTTTCCCCAAGTAATGATCATGGACTTAAAATCCATCTAGGGAGAGGCTGGATCCTAGGTAGCAATGACCCAGAAGGGGCACATCAAAACCACATTGTGACGTCCTCAGTCCCCCATCCATCCACTCACTGATAGTGCTGCAGACACCAATGGCCCATTTCATATCCAGAAAATCCTCCGGAGCGATATTTACTACTGAAAAGAGATGGGCCATGTGACATTCATCATCAGCCTCTCATCAAACGGGAGATAGCACAGGATATAGTGATGTCACAACAAAAGATGCTCCACCCCAACACACACATACCTCCCAATGGCCCATTTCATATCCAGAAAATCCTCCGGAGTGATATTTACTACTGAAAAGAGATGGGCCACGTGACATTCATCATCAGCCTCTCATCAAACAGGGGAGATAGCACAGAATATAGTGATGTCGCAACAAAAGATGCTCCACCCCAACACACACATACCCCTAAACCCTCTGGAGGATAGAATGGACCCCTGAACTGGCCGTGCTGTGGGGGTGGACTTTTTCCTTGGCGGGGACACTGGTACCAAGGCCTCTTCCCTGACACTTTCCAGCTTCCTGGGCAGGATCTGACACTAAAATATCTTATCCTGATGATTGTTTATGTTTATTTAAAAAATGCAGGAGGGGTGCCCCCCAAAGGGCAACCTTTCTTTAAATAGTGTAGATTCATACTGGCCCCAAATCTTCCTCCATCTTTTCCAAAGTTGTCATGTGTGTCAAGATGTCATCCCACAGATGGATTGGGTGCTGATGGATAGTCAAACGGGTGACCTACATCACAAATGAAGTGCATGTCACCAGTCTACCATCCCCTCAACTACCCTGGAAAGTGGCTGGTACTACTGTCCCTTCAGTGACACTGCTGCTTGTCCAGAAAGCCATCCGAGCAGGACCTCACAACGAAGAGCCACCACCCACAAGGAGTCATAAGTAAATCAACACCCGTGAGTAGCCTCCCTTCACCACAGGGACACGAGGCCTTCCCAACCCGGCTTCCCATCCATGGGAGGCCTGGGTCCTCAGGACCACACACTACCCTGATCCCTGCACCGTGACATATGTCACAGAGTCTGCCTTCCTTGCATCTACTCAAAGCTGGCAACGTCCCTTCCCTGAAGGCCACATTGGGAACAGGAAGTGCCTCCAGGGTGGGATTTGATACTAAAAAAGAGGTTTCCCATGTATGTTTCATCATAAATAAAGAGAATACAACACGGACAACCTCTCCTTCGAGTATCGAAGGTCAGCACTGATCAAAAACAAGTAAAAATAACATAAAAACCAAAAATAAAACTGCCGAATTTTCACAAATGGTGTAGTCAGCTCCAGGTTTTCCTGAGTCTACACTGCCCTGGGTAGACCTCCCGCAGTGCTTTCTGGGGGTCGGCCAACATATCCTTTAAGACTTGGTACTGACTGGATGCAGGCCACCCATGAAATATCTTCTACCAACACAGAGAGCATTTATGTGCAACCTCTCTCCAGGTATCATAGTTTTCCTGATGGTGGAACCAGTTTCCTTCTGGAAAAGCCCCCAGCAATGGTTTGTATCTCAAGGTCAGTGTGTCAGGTATGAGTCAGCGAGTAAGTGGGACATTTTGTGGTCAGGAGGCAGGTGACGTGGTCTGCCGTGGCTGACACCCAGCCCCTGCGTGGAAGTGTCTGGGAGCCCAGACAATCTTCCAGGCACAGTGTGGTTCTAAAAACAGATGTCGGGGACCGGGTTAGTTGTAAGTAAAGTGAATGCCACGACGGAATAAAAACAAATATCCTGAAGTCAGTTCGCCAAATGTTTGTACCAGCTCTGAGTCGGCTTCTCTGTTTTGCTATAAAATACCTTTAATCACAGTTTTTTCGTTGTGGGGGAAATGTTGCTATCCACAGACGTTTTTTCATTTCAGTAGAATGATCGGTCAACCCTGACAGCACTGGGAAGATAGGAACCCAAAATCAAGGGGAAGAAAGTTCCAGGTTTCCTCTTACAGAGTTACGCATTTGCGCCCTCCCCGCTCTCCCGAGCTGGCCGCTAGGGCAGAGGACAAAGAATCGCTGCGTATGCTGCGTCCCTACACCCTTGCAGTCTCTCCTCTGACTCCTGCTTAACCACCAGAGCGCCCAGTCTGCCAGAACCCAGCGGCCACCTGCCCTGGAGACGACAGAGGCAGTGGCGCACTTGCCACGGTCCCGTTTCCTTGTCTTTCTCGCCCTTGCTCTCAAGGCTCTTTTCAAGTAGAAGGAACGATGTTTGGGCCTCAGCTGATACGAAAGGCAGGCTATGCCAGGCGTCCATGCCACCGCACCTGGTCTGGCTCTCATCAAAGTGGGGATGGAGTGGGAAAACCTGGCCCTTTTTGAGGACTCAATGCCGCTTTCTAAACGCCATACAAAAGAGCCCAGAGTCATGGCCTACTGCCATCAAAACAGATGTACATCTGTATCCTACCTCTGTGCCTTGGCTTTAGAGCTGGCCAGGAGCCGCTTCCTTTCCCGGAGCTCGGCGTCACCTCCACAAAGTCCTCCTGAAAAGGAATGGCAGGAGCGTTAGGGTCAGACATGACATGCAGAGCGAGAGAGCGAGGAAGCATACCTCTTGGCTCACTCACCCTGGATGGGGGTGACAAGTTCTGTCGTGCAGGAAGTGTTCCCAGCCAGTTTTTGATACTGCAGGAGTCGGCAGGAATGATTTGTTGTAAAAGAAACGAACATGCCTAAGGACAGCTGTCTTCGAGGGCCAGAGAGAGGGACCATCGATGGCAACACAGCCTCCTCCCTGACATCGGCACCACCTCCTAAGAATGGGTGGGAGAGTGGACCAGGCGTAAAGCACGTGGCCTACAGTCAGCTATGTGCTCACTGCTCCTTGCCCAGGGTCGATGACAAAGCCTTTCCCCTAACTTTGTGGAACATCAAGCATTCCTTCAGACTTCAAATAAATCGACTCCAGAATTCTGGTTAGAAATAAAGAGGTCCGACCAATTCCAGGGACCCCCAATGTCTCATCTGGATCTCAGAACTAGCGTTTCTTCCCAAAGATGTCATGACGTCCAGAACATCCTTTCAGAATAAACTAGAAGCTGATGGGCAGTGTTCGAGGCCACCAATGCTGTCTGTCCAGGGCATGACCTCCACGCCCATCACTGATGGTGGCAAAGACCATCCATCTTTCCAAAGTGAGGCTAGATACTGAACTAGGCTGGCCGTGTGTCATTTATCAGAAGCAAGAAAAAAATGCAGCTACAGGTAACCTACCTGCACAGTCCGGCACAGAGCTGTCGTGGGACTGCCATCTTCCTCCAGGTGGGCAACGGCTTGGGAAGTCCTCCTAAGAATGGATCAGAGAGTGAAGGTTAATAGAATAGGCGATAAAGGCCAGAACTGAGATGGGCTTTGTGGTCAGCCATTTATTCATAGCCACGGTCCCCCTTCCCTGAAGCTGGGGTCTGGACCACAGGGCCTCCAAGAGGGGATCCGATACTGGAAAAGGGGTTAACTAGGTGTGTTTCGTCCTCGTTAAAGAAACACACCTAGAAAACCTCCCTCCAGGTACCACCGATTAACACGGACATGAATACCACTAATTCTTCCCCAGACTTGACATTCAGTCCTGGATGTCCTGTTAATATGGGCTGGACACTGACGTTAGTAGAACAGGTGACGTTAGTCATACACCTAAGGCATAGGCCCTGTGGTCAACCACTCACTTCTGTCCACTGGATGGGAGCTGACAGTAACAGTGACACCCTTCCCTGAAGCTGGGACCTGGACCAGAGGGCCTCCAAGATGGGATCTGATACTGGAAAAGAGGTTAACCAGGTGTGTTTCATCCTCATTAAAGAAACAGAAACCCAGAAAACCTCTCTTCAGGTACCACGAATTAACACTGCAAGACCACCACGGATTCTCCCCTAGATTCGCCACTCAGCCCTAGTCCTAGACATCCCGTTAACATGGAAACGGATACTGTGCATTAGTCGCTTCGCTGGCATAAGCTGTTAGTTGCACGCATGCTGTCCATCAACCATCCATCCAAGTACCCAGTGGAGCAGACCCCAATGGCCGCCTGCACGTCCCGAAGTCAGCATCAAGGACAGAGGGTGGTGATACGACAGAAGCCTGGTCACAAGAGCTGTCACACTTATGGTTAAGCCCATCAGGACAAACTTTTCTCAATTGCCATAGAGAGACACAGATGGCCCAAGTAAAGGCTGGCTACCCCAAAGGCCCTCCCCGGGACTCCCTAGGTACTGAGGTGCGATGGCCCAGCGACCTGTGTCGTAAAAACAGTGCACGCACTCTGGTCAGCTGACCACTCGAGTACTTTGGGGTGGTGCAGACAGCATGCCCCTTCCCACGAACTTGGGTGGCCTCGCACCTGGGAAGCCCTCCAAGGAAAGAGATCCTACTGCAAATAAGTTCAAGTTTGTCACATCTGGCACAAGTGCAGCGAACGCCTTGCAGATGCTCCTTCTTCCAGTCCAGCTGAGCACGGCTGGCCCGGGTTTCCTGTCTCCTTCCCCAAAGCTGGCACTTCTTCCGGAAGATCTCCAAGGGGGGAATTAGATACTGAGGGTTAGTGGACCAGGTCACAAACGGCACGAATAAAGCGTGTGCTCTCTGGTCAACCATCTCATGTATCCAGGCACGTGCTGATGCCACTCTCCTCGTCCACAAGTTACCCCTGCACTCGAAGCCGCCACGCCAGAGTGGTTTCGCTGAGAAGGCTGCTACACGTGAGTCATCCTCCCACGAGACAAACACATCGCGACCCCCGCTGAGGTGCACCGAGAGCAGAGCTAGGTCCCCACCCCGCGGCCGGTGTTAGCTCCAGGAAAGCTTGCGAGGCGGGATTAGATACCGCAAAGAGGTCGACCGTGTAATGTGCGCCATAAATAAAGCGAACGCGCCACGGACCACCTCTCTCCAAGTACCAAGCAGCAGCAGTACTGATACGAGGACAGTGGCTCTTCCTCAAAGCTGACAGCGCCTGCTGGAAGTCTTCCGAGGCGAGATGTGATATCGAGAAGAAGCAGACCATGTGTCCTACGTCATAAATAAAGCGTACACACCACGGTCAACCGCATCTCCAAATACCGTGAAGTGATGCTCACCCTGACTCTCTTCCCTTAATTTGGCATCACCTCCAGGAAGCCCTAGCAATGTGCCCCACAAATGATCGGCAATCAGCAAACGTGACAACGACCACGAACCCACGTCCGATGCCACTACCACCTCCGGAAATGCCGTGTAAGGCCAAGATCGGGTGCTAAGTATTGGTTGGGGGACCAAAACGGCCAGTGTCATAAAGAAAGCACGTGGTTTCCAGCCAGTCACCTGGTGACCACCGCCAGATAGCGCCTGTCGCACAGGCCCTGCTCTCAAGTTGGCATGGCCTCCAGGGAAGTCCCCTTAAAGGTGACCGATGCTGAGAGTTAGTGAACCACGTTACATACATCGTCAACGGGACGTGTGCTCTCTGGTCTACCACCTCCCCACATACTGCGGAGTGGTGCTGAAGCCAGACCAGCGTGTCTCCCGCGAAGGTGGCTTTGCCTCTGGGAAGCCCTCTGCGACTGAATTTGATATTGAGAAGACGTGGACCATATTACATACGACACAGAGATAGCGCATGTCCTATGGTCAACCATCTTTTCAGGTACCGTGGAGGGGGCTGACGTCGGAACCGGCGTCTCTTTCCTCTCGTTAGCATCACCTTCAGGAAGCCCTCTGAGGCTAGATGCAGTATTGAGAAGAGGCCACCATGCAAAGGCTGCTAGAGATGCAGTGGACGCAGCACAGAGAAACCCCTGGAGGACCCAGAGTGGAGATGACGCCAGAACGGACGCAATGCCTGAGACTTAGTATCGCCTACAGCGGCCCCCCGGGTGCGTTTGCTGTTATGAAAAGGTGGCCCAGGGAGCATGCGTTGTAAGTAAAACATATGAAGCATGGTCGACTTCTACTAAGTACCCCAAAGCGGTACTGGTGCCAGAACCGGTACCTCGTCTCCGGAGGCTGACGTGACCTCCCTGGAGACCTTCATTCACAGCTGAATCTGATACGGGAAAGAAGCGGACCATGTCACATACGCTGTTAATAAGATACATGCAGTGCGGTCCAACCCTCTCCAGGTACCGTGAGGTTGGTGCCGACGTCAGAACCGTGCTCCGACTTGACTCTGAGGCCGGCGGCATCTTCGGTAAGTCCTCCGAGGCTGGCTGGAGGTGGGGAGGAAGGGGGCCACGCAACATGTTTCGTCTGTAAGCGTACGTGCGGGGCCAGTCAGACCTTCGCGTTGGGTCAAGGTCGAGTCCAGACCCAGGGCATCTTCCCGAGATGACTAGACTCGATATGGAAAAAAGATAGACTGTACACGCATCGTCAATGAAAACAACGAGTCAGTGTCTTCAGTACCTGGAGTGGCCTCATCTCACGCACACCCAGATCTGCCTCTGCGTGGGCACTTGGTCCTGAAGCCATCTGAGGACGGCTTGGAGGCTGACAAGAGGCAGAACGTGTGACATCTCTCCTTCGTAAACGTGGCGACACTGACCACCGTTTCTTCAAGGGGCGACGTGCCAACGTGGAAGCGGGACACCTTCCTAGAGGTTGCCATTGTCCTAAGGAAGCCCTCGGAGGCTGCGTTTGACACTGAGGAGAAGACTGTGTCGCAAGCATTAACAGATTAAGCACACATCAAACAGTCTACCATTCTGCCAAGTACCATGGAGAAGGAGTGCCGAGGCCGGTGTCGCTTCTCTGCTTCGGGCTCTCTCCAGCGTGGTTTGGATGGCTGGGCTGGATACCAAGAAGCGGTTTACCGTCCCACATACATACTCAAAATGTATGTGGGACGGTAAACCATTTCTTCAAGTACCGCACGAAGGCAGTGATGACCGGAAGAAGGCTCACGTCCACGAAGCTGCCTCTGGGGACCTCTTCAAGGCTGCATTTGATGCTGAGAAGAAGCAGGTCATGGTGGATACTAGACAAGAGCTGTGTAGTCAACCATGTCCTTGAATGCCACAGAGCAGCACCGATCCCAGAAAGAAGCAAGATCTCCTCCCCAGAGATGGCGAGACTTCCCGAGGCAGAACTTGGTATAAGAAGGGCGAGAGTACGTCATTTCGCGTCATGCAGAAAAGAACATGCCCCACAGAAAGCCATCTCTTCGAGTGTCATGGAGAGGCCTGCCGTTGGGTCCAGTGGCACCTCCCTGAAGATGGCGTCGTTTCCAGGAGCCTCGAGGATGGATTTGATACTGAGGGTTAGTGGACCGTGTTACATACGTCACAGATAAAGCGTACGCTATACGGTCTACTATCTCTCCAAGTACCACACAGGGACGCCGAGGACAGAGGTTGAGGACGCGTCCAGAAACCCTTCCAGAGCTGGGGAGATCAGAGGGCAGGTCGAGCACAACACATGCATCATGCGACAAGCACACACAGGTAGGAGTCTTGTCTCCACTGTCGGGAGCTGACGCTGACGCTGGAACTGGCGGTTTATCCCCCAAGCTGGCAACTCCTCCAGGAAGCCCTCCAAGGCTGTACGTCCCACTGAGCAGAAGTGGACGATGTTACGGATTTCATCATTCCAGAAATACTGATTAAGTGCCTACTATGCGCCAGGCACCACGCTGGGTCTGAGGGAATGGATGAGTGGGCATAGCGGGGGGGTGGGCATGGTATGTGGCTAACAGAACTGTGTGAGGGGTGGTGAGCAAAATGAGAAATATAAGACGGCCTGTGTGCAGCCAGGAAGAACCACCGTCTAGTTACACCGAGCAGGCCAAGCAAATGGTCTCGGGGCCTGTGAAGCCCAGGGTGTGAGCTCTGGTTTGGGGCATACAAAATTACGCCACAGGAAAGACTGACGGCCGTCTCGGCCTCAAAGTCAGGGGCGTTTCCAGGAGGTCCTCTCAGGCTGGACTGGATTTGCGCAGTAACCACCAGGCCATCGGCGTAAACAAAGTAGACGCTCTTTTTGGTCAATGGACTCCCTGAGGCCAGGACCTCCGTCTCATCCCGATCTTGGCACTGCCTCCGGGAAACCCTCTGAGATTGAACTTAATATGGACCAGAGGTGGACACTAGTACAAACAAACGGACTTCAACATAGGGAAATATCTCTTCAATAGCACACAGCGTGACCGAGGCTGGACTGGCGGGTTCCCCTGGAGGTGACATCAGTTCCATGAGGCCCTCCAAAGCTGGCCAGGCTACCGGGAAGTGGCGGACCGTGTCATAGAAATCTTTCCTTGTGCATATGCCACAGGGCAAACCACGTCTTCGAGTATCATGGCTGAGGCTGGAACCGAAGTCT